GGCACCAAGTGAAACTAAGACTGATTCAAACCATCCAAATTCCTGATATATAATATTAAGTTTGGAAGGTACTGTTTCTTAATATTCTTACAGATTACTGGCATGCACTGCAGAATTAAAATGTATCTCAATGCCTTTACACTAAACTATATATAAAATGTTACCCAAACAAAAAAGTTGGCTGATTCAGTAATGGAATAATTTTTCTCTTTATGCAGGACAAAAAACATGTCACCTAACTGCCTTATTTCTTAAGCCTAAACCTATATTCATGACACAGGTTGTTAAGTAAGACTTAAAGGAAAGCCAAGCAATGCCTTTTTGCATTTTCACAGGGATTTTTTATCCTCACAAGGTTATATATCAGTGAGTTGAGAGAGTCTGTCTGTCACTCAATTTTTATACGGATGTGGAATGCTATAACACTTACTTAAAGAAACACAGCTGCTCATTTAAATGTCATAAAAGCTGTTATGTGGAAGTAGACTTAATCCTATTTCTCCTTATAGATTTTATTTTCCTGTAATCCAGGACTTTTGCTTATCTATAATGTACCATCATTATGAGCTAAAAGCCATTTTCTTTATATGTGCAGATTGCAAGGGAGGCAGTGGATTTTTCTTCTTCACTTATTTTTAGATAAATATTGAACAGCCTATGTCAAGAATTTAGAGGAGGAAACCCCTCCCTCTTAAACTAAGTTGGAAGAATTTTTTCTTCATGGGTCTCCCAAGCAAGCTGTGTGCTTGGTGACCTCTTCTGTCTCTTTCTTCCCTTCCCTCTCTGCCAACTTCTCTTTAATGTCCAACTCTTCCCCTCCCCTCCAGGCAGCCATTAAAGACGAGGCTGTTTTCTAAATTTTAGTTTTAAGAGCGGGGAACCAATGATGAAGATGTGTGTTGTGATGCAGTGAGATAGGAAATCCCCATTTAACAGAGCTGCCATATCTGGGAGAAAAGGAATATCCTGTGGAACAAGGCTGCTGGTGAGGGGAGAACCTTTGGTTCTTAAGCTTTGCCTAAGTGTCAGTGGGCCTTTTCATGTGTTCACTGGCCACAAGTAATCTCACCTGGGAAATACAGAATAGAAACTTCCACAGGGCATGCCATAAAATAAGAGTGCTTGGACTTGCACTTGCACAGGCCCATCAGGTACCCCCAAAAAGAGCTGCTACTTGATAATTTGACCCTTTCTTTTTCTTTTCTTTTCTTTTTATTTTTTTTAGTGAAAAGAAATCTTACTGATTTGCAGAGAAGTTGATTTTCACCCCATCTGGCTTTCAGTCTGGATGATTTTTTTAAAGTGTCCATGTTGATGATGAAATGACTCTCAAATGGGATGGGACTTTCACAGTGGGGGATCTGAAACAGAGACCTGGGGAGCCATGGGTTTAGGTCAGGTTTCTGAGTTTCCTGGCATGTGGCAAAGCTAATCTGAAGAGTTCCATTAAAACGTTCAGAGATTTAAATTATAAAAGTATTTTAGGAATAGGGCTAAGAAAAAACCCCGAAACAAAACAAAACTATAGTAATCTTCTGATTTAGTGTTAAAATGTATTCCTTGGCTAATGTTTATCCCTCATCACACATTCATATTATCTGCCTGGTAGGTTCAGCACCTTTATGGTCTCTGAGCTTGCCTACACAGCAAAGGTTATGCCTGGAAGGACAGGCTGTCATGATATGACCGATGTGTTCCTTAAAATTGGCTCCCTGCTGTGGGCACCCTGGGGTGGGCTTCAGCTCCCCCAGGCATGCTCAGCTCCTCAAGGGACATCAGGAGCTGCCTGAGTCAGGAGGAGGATTATGGCTGCATCTGCCCTTGAAAGGTGCACCCAGGGCTTTGACCACTCCCCCCAGATATGCACCCATGGGGGTGCAGGACCTGACCCAGCAGCTCAGCAGAGTGAGGGGTTTGTCCCTTTCAGGGTAGCAAATGCTGATCGCTCACTGTGGGGAACTCTGTGCACAGAGAGGTGCTGAGCTTGAAGACACTGGTGGGTGCTAAATTTGCAATTTTTAGTTTGCTGACCTTACTAAGGAGATGGTTTTGGAGGGCCATTGCAGAGTTAGGGTTTGGCATTCCCATATAACAAAATTATCCTTCAGCTGCTTATGTGAAAGATCAAAATGAGCTGACAACTGTCATCTATTTATCATTAACATCACTGTATTTGTTATTCCTTTAATCCTGATTCCTGAAATCTCACCTTTAACTTTTTTTTTCTTACTTTTCAAGAAAATTTTTGTCTTTTAAAAATCTTGATAATACAAAGACACAGAACCAGAAAATAATGCCTCACCTTTAACTTTTTTTTTCCTTTTCAAGAAAATTTTTGTCTTTTAAAAATCTTGATAGTACAAAGTCAAAGACACAGAACCAGAAAATAATGTTTCAATATGTACTTTAAAAATACTGCAATTTTTAATGCATCACATTGTTAACAGTTTTTTTTCATTTTTGGAGGTCTTAGCAAATAAAAAATGAACAGCTTTTTTTTTTTTCAAGAGACGTATGGAATAAGGGACAGATGCAGGATAAATACTGAAGAAAATATGGATATTTCATTGTCCTCTGTACAATAACAGTAATAATGTTTAATTTTGTAATGTACTGGAAAAGGCAGGGAAAAAAGGAAGTTTCATTATTGTATAATAAAGCACCTAAATAGTGTTTATTTAGTGGAGATCATTAAGGTTCTGTCTTTATAATGTTTTTTAATCCACCCACTGCTTCTAGTTTCGTATGTTTTAACATTGGATAATAGAACAGAGATGTAGTTAAAGGCATGAAAATATAGAAGTCAGAATTTTCATGCATTCCTTGCTATATTTTGAAATTAATAAAATAAGAGCTGGTTTTCAATTGATATAATTTTCAAAGGAAATAGGGCTGGGCTTATTATTGTTACTACCACAATCAGCATAGAAAGAGTCCAACATTTTGCTAACATTGAGTAGTGCTAGCAGCACAGAAGATTCATTTGATCTTATATAATGTTTTCATGGTTAATAAGATTTTCATATGACATTTTTGCATGATTATAAGTGCTGGAATTTCATTGCAGTAGGCATTAACTCCTGCGATTGAAGTTAAGGGAGATTTCTTTCTTTTTTTTTTTTAATAGCTAATCAAGAGTTTAACTGCCTCTGGGGCATTTTAAGAAAATGTTATACTGTACTTAACGAACATTATACTACAAATAAGAGTGATATTCCTGTAATTAAAACAGTCTGGATATTGCTTAATGAATGTTTTTCTTATCTTAATGTGTAGGCAGTAAGGATTCATGTAGTTGCCTTTATTAACTTGTGGAGTTAGTTAAAAAGCTGGTTAAAACAGTAAGTCCATATCAGGTCAATATAAAATGCTTATGTAGGGATTTCATTGCTCTTATAAATCCACTAGTTAAAAAATAAACACAGATGCTTGTTTGTGCCATCCTGAGCCATATTGCAGGGTAGTATTTCTGCCTGTAGACATTTCCAAAGTTAAGTGTTGCCTGGAGCACTGCAGGATTTGTAAGCGTTCTTCTTTATCGTCCGTTTAGGAAATATTTTTAAATTTCCACCAGGCTTGTATTCAAAGCCAGAGAGCAGTTGGTTTTCAATTAGTGTGGCCACAATTGCTGTTGAACTAAAAGCATTGTGTATTCGTTCTTTTTTTCTGTCATATTGCATCAGCTTTGATGTAATTACAACATTTTCCTTTTTTTTTGGATGTAATTGCAGTGCATTGTAGTTTTATAGCTCTGTTCTTCAGCAATTTAATATTTACTAATTGCTTGCTAAATTGTTCTTCACTGCTCAGTTATTTGGTGCAGAAAACATTCTGAATAAGCCCAGTTTAATACAAAATAATTCTTTGATTTAGTAATTCCTCCACATAATAATTCTACAGAATAATGCTTGGCTAAACAGAAATGATATTTTTACTTTTAATCTTATTTTGAAAATATCATGTAAGTTTGCTTTTTTTTTCCTACAGCTAAAATTGAGCATCTTTATATTGTTTAAAAGATATTTACCACCTGGATTGCATCCGTATACATCTAAGTCTCAATTTTGCACAAGTCTCTGTACAAAAACCCCAAAAAAGTGGATTGACCCATGTGTAGTCTAAGAACACATGGAAATGGAACAGTTTCATAATTCAAAATTAATCCCCAGTACTGGAGGAACTTAAGCATATGGTTAACTGTAAGTGTTTGACTAGTCTTTTTGATTTCTCTGGGCTAGGCACATGCTCGAGTGGGTTTACAGGAGCAGTTTCAAAATGTGGAGAAGACTGCAATATTGCTTTTTCTTATATGGTGAAAATGTCTGTGCTTTATTTAGTATTATAATTTACCTATGTTTCTAAGTACAGAAATCATCAAAATGTTTGTGGTTTGACTAAGCGTAGAGTGACGTAAATTGCAAATTGAGATAAAATATGGTCTACCAGTAAAAAATTTCTAGAAGTGTGAAGGAATTGTAAACTATCCCCACCACAACCAAAACTATGAAGACAACAGTTTGTAATAAAATATCAGAAATTCTGGAAGACCTGAAGTGGGTAACAAATGCCTTCTTTCTTCTGACTTCTGCAGCACTCGTATATTGACACTCCATTCATTTCCTTCTGCCAAATATTGTCAGTCACAACTTCGGTGTAATTTTATGTTAACTCAGATATAAATCAGAAGTGATTTCAAGGACTGTACTGTTTTCCTTTTCTCTCACGCCATGCAGACATGGATATCTAACTTGCACAGGCTCTGGTGAACACAGTGACTCTCTGTTGTGGATGGCAAGATCATTTTAACAGGCAGGAGTGGCACTTTATTGATTCTGACTTTATCAAGTGCCTGTTTCTTACTTTGTATATAACTCATTAGCAGCCTGCCCCTAAACTGCTCAGGAGTCTTTGGATGAGTTTGGGACTCGGACTTTAATCACAGTAATTAGCGTGGAATTTTTGAATCCTGGTCTGGATCTTGACCTTGCAGCATTTAGCCAATGCGCGCACAGCTGGACCGGTGGCAGCGGCTGCAAGAGCTCCGGAGTGGGGATGCTCCCGGGGTCCTGGTGTGGGAACCGACGCGGAGGCAGTGGAGGGGAGTGGGGAAGAAAAGAGGGGAAAAGCACATTCAGTAAGAATAGAAATTCTGCCCAAACGTTGTTACCATTATTGTGCACGTACACCGAGATGGGTGGGTGCAAAGTCAGTGTGTGAAAAGGCTGGGACAGATTTAGGAGCAAGGGAAGTAAGTACCTGATGGAGGGGACAACTGGAAGAGCCAAGAGTGGTTTTGCAGTGATATAAAGAATCTCTTAAAAGTTCAGCTTTTCTGCAGAGGACACTGGGATGGGTCTGACTGTATAAAAGTGCAACCATTGCAGACTTGAGGGTTTTATATATTCACTTCCTAAGACAGATTTTGGCGGGGGATGTTCCAGGACAGCTTTTTGGTTATAGATGCCTGGTCCTCCCCTTGAGCTGGAAGATTCTCAGCCTCCAAAGGCATGTTTTTTCCTTTATGCCACACAGCTCTGATAACACTTGGTGCATTTTTGTCTGTACACAAAACCCAAAACCAGGTAAGTCTAAGCAAATCATACATCAAAGTCACACATCCAAAGCGAAATCTTCTTACTTCTCAATGCATACCTTAGAAAAGGCTAATTTATGTGTAGTTTTTTTCTAAATCTCTCAATATTGGTATTGGATCTTCATCTTTATTGTGGGATGTTTTTGTTATTTAAAATGTGTTGCAAATTTCTGTTGCAGCTTCTAGTTGCAATACTTTTAAAAAAATGTTATGCAAGAATTTTGCTTAAAAAAACACACAGCTAGAAAAAAATTTGCAATATCTCTTTACAGTGTTGTAGATTTTTAAAATGCAACTTAGAAACTGAATTAGTTAAATAAATGAAAGCACTTAAAATTTTCTTGAAACAAAAACTGTCCATACTTAGCATTTATTTCTATATCTTTATATTTAGAAAGACAGAGAAATTGACTGTTATCCTTACTGCATGTTTCCATGTGGCAAAGTGAATGTGTTACAGACAGACAGAGTGCTTTTCCAGTGGCCTGTGGTGCCATGGGTCTGATGAAGCAGCAGAAAGCATCCCAAGAAGCCCCATACCTTGTCAATGGTAAAAGCAAAGCGAGGTACAGCTCGGCTCGAGAATGCTTTATGGGCATGACGAGTTATTCAGAGTTATCCACACCGTAAGGAAGGGAGCAAAGCCTCAACTGTATGTCACATATGCTAAAGCTCCCCAAGACAGGACACCAATTAACCTTGGATGATAGCAAACACACACACACACACAGGCTGCCCGAGAGGAGCAGCCTGTTGCCATTAGTAGGAAGCAGCAGCCCTTGTCACCCTCAGCCATTATTTAAATCTCTTTTAAAATTCACTTCTTAAGTCAAAGGACCGTAGCACTCTCCTCTTCCTCACAAACAGGCTATTTTTGCTGCCCTGAAAACAGGACACGTTAGTAATATGAGAAGCCAGTGGTCCTTTTATTTTTATCCTCGCTGTCTAATTTGGCCATTTTGAATTGAGAAGAAAAAAAATGCCTGATCTTCAGTCAAAGCAATTTAAGGCATGATGGAGTTCAGAGTGAACCAAAACAACAGGGTCAAATGTAGTTGAAAGAACATGGTGGGGTAAATAAAAGGTCTTTTTTTTTTTTTACATTTAGTGCTGGTGGGAGGAGAAAGTTTGGTTAACTATTTAACCTATGATAGCCTTTTATCATTTTATAGCTTAGGGGTCCATAATTTTAAGGTTTTGCCAGTAAGTTCCTGGTTTGTATTCAATCTTTCCTCTTGTGCCCAGTTATATGACTTACATTGATTTACTGGAGATAGGAAAAAATTATAAATAAAAAGCAGACAAAGACACATCTTTTTCCTAAAATTGCTTTCCAGCATCTTTGGATTTGGTGCTTAGTTTTCATTTCCACTCACACTTCTCTGTGTCATGATTTCTTTTTTTTTTTTAATTTTTTATTTTTCTTTTTTTTTTGATCAGTGGGGCTCTCCTTCCCCATTTGGTTCAGCTCTCTGTTTTTTGGCTATAATGCAATGTGTCCTGATCACTTGGAGTGAGTGCTTGTGAAAGGTCACTTGGAAGCCCCCTTTACATTTCTCCCTGCAACAGTTTTTCCAGCAGGCAAGTGCTCTCAGGAGCAGCCCCCTCCAATCTGTCCTTTTTGATAGCCAAAGCTGGTTGTTACGGGGGTTAAATTTCGTAATTCACTGAGTTTTTGTGAGCGCTTCTTCAACTCACCACTCTCAGTCCCGCGGTGGGCGCAGACCGCCTGTCTCCCTTAGGATGCTGAGGGAGTGCTAGGATTTATTCTTTCACCTTCTTCACTTTTGGGAGGCCAATTTTATACCTTTATGTCTTCCATCAGCTTCAGGGGAATTAATCTTCACATTAAGTCTGTGAAACATAGCATCAGCCTTATGGTGGGAAGTTTAAAATCAGACAAAGCCTCTCCTGGTAAAGAAAACTGCTTGTCAAGAGATCTCAAACCATGAGAGCTGGTGGCTTCTGCCTGCCCTGGAAAGGGCTTGGGTTTGGGGGGGTTTCTTAATTAGTTTTTTGAGGGTCAGGGAAATGACCGTACTGAGTCTGGAACAAAGGAAGAAATCAAAATGTAAAGCTGAGTGTTTGGTATGTTGATAACCCCCCAGTTTTAATTTCAGCATAATTGGATCAGGGTGAGCGGCAGTTGTTACGTAAAGTTCTTTCCCTTACATTTTATTCAAAAGTAAATATTTTTGCTCTTCACTTTTAACCTGAGTGTTGTTTTTTTTTTTTGTTTTTGTTTTTTGTTTTTTTTTTTCCTAAAGAAGAGCTGCTTGCTTTGCCTGGATTTATTTCCTCTAGGACAGCACTAAGATTTTGGGGACCTGTATTCTGATGGTAAAGCTTGTGACATGAGCTTTTGTTTTCCATTGGAGGAAATGTTAGCATTTTTTCACATGTTAACTTTTAAACAATTAGGAGGAATTTCTTTTCCTTGAAAACTGCTGTCCTTTTCTTTTTCCTCCCCTTTTCTCTCTTCTTGATATTTTTATTTCCCTTTTATATGGAGACTTGTAGATTTTGTCACTTCAAACGTTAGCTGTTCCTCCTCTTTTCTTTCACTTTACAATACACACTAGGAGATTTTTTTTTTTTTGCATATTCCTTCCCTTTCTCTGTGAGATATTGTAGTTCACCAAATTTAAAACACTACAGTATTTAGAATCCCCGCAGTGCCATTTTAAGTATTTGGACCTGGAAAATGCCCCAAGTAATAACTACCTGAATTGCTTTTAATTACACAATATAGCTGCATCATTTTACTTCAGATTCTTTTTGATTGATGCTGTAAGGCAATTGTAACCATGGATGATGGGATTAAGTGCCTCTTGAAGTGACTTTAGCTTCTTGTGGGAACAAAGGGAAAGAAGAGAACACTTAGTCCCTTTTTGAGTGAACAGCCTTTTTTCACTTGCTATATAAAGAAATACAATTAACAAACATTATCCCCAGAGGTGAATTGAAATGTACATGCGGACAATAACCGCTCTTGACTGCAATTAGACATATATGATCCGAGGTATTTTGGCCATTCATTAGTGCTAATTGTTTGAGAAACAAGCCCAGAGAACAAATGATTAAAATGTTAGTGCCATAACCGGGATTATTAGCATGTGTGATAAAATGCATGCGCCGCAGCTGTACCAATAAAACTCTCCAGCGAGTCGCTTTGATTCGACAAACACTCAGCGCGGCTGCGAGCCCGAGTATTTGCACAGGGCCTGCTGATGTTTATAACAAACAACTTGTATCTTCTTTTCTTAATTAGAAAGAATTACTATGCAAATTGTGGGGCTTTGTAATTCCATAGAAGTTTCCTTTGTTTTTGGCAGATTATTTGTGTGCGGTAGCGTGCTACTCCCCGGTAAATTCAACACGGGAAAACCATTACATTTTCTCTGGAGTGGGGTTTTTTTGCACATATTGCAGAAATTATTTGTATGACATTTTCCTGCATTAGCTGGGTCTTTTTCAGGGGGGGTTGTGGGTCTTGGATCACTTCTGCCCTTCTTCCACAGCTCCACAGATATCAGTTACATGCACAGAGGTCAAAAATACATGTGGAAATTATCCAGATTTTTTAATAGTTTTAGTGAAGTGTCTAAAAATGCTCTTTGCAAACACTTTGCCAACACTGTGCCAAAGATTGTAGAAGGAAAGATTTGGCCTATTGAACAATGAATATTTTTCTATGTGTTTTGCAGGTCTTCTAGGGGTGATTTGATGTAGCAAATAAACAGGGAACAGAGGCACAGGTTAAAGTGCTGGAAATCACTTGTGCCAGTACTTTATTTTGTAACCATATCTTGTTGGCTCCAATGTGACTGCACAGGTGTGTGCATTTAAATACGTGTATGAGTATGAGCAATGCTGGAATGTGAAAATGCAGTTTACAGCAGGGAAATTTGCATAATTTGGGGTAATTTTACTCTTCGCAGTCACGCTGTATGGCTTCAAACTGCAGTGTCTCTTAGTAGTCAAATAGGTTTTCTTTGCTCCTTCCAGAGGATGAACTATTCACTCTTGGGTGAAATGGTTCTCAGAGGACCATGAGAAACTTTAACTTGCCATCTACTTTTACATATTTGATGAAGACTTTAGTAGAGTGTTATGTTTGCTGAAGAAATTTAGTTTTATTTCCAAGACCCAAGAGCACTCAGCATGCTGCCAGATGCTATGAATGAAAATATGCTGCTGTAAAACAATTTAATGAGCATTACCCAATAGCCTAGTCCTTGTTTTAACTTACAGTGCTTAAAGGAAGAAACATTGTCTTAGCAAATTCACTTGGCTTTTGTCCATGTGTTTAGTTTAAAGCATAGTCAAGCTTAGTTTGAATCATTAAAATACTTGGAGCCAGGAAACATATGTAAGATTTTCCTCCTCTTTATGGCACAGGGTTAACAGTATAATCGAGACTGCAGTGCTGTGTGGGTTTTTTGTCCTAAAAAAGCAACTGCTGGGGATTTTTTCATTCTATCAACATAACAGAAGTCAAGATAATCAGGGGAGTGTTTCCTACCAGAGTAGCTAACTGCTCATATACAGAGCACCCCAAGCCTTGCCACTGTTTAAAATAAGTCTATAGACAAATGGATCTATTAATTAATCCATGTGTTCCTCTGCTTTTTTGTTGTAGAACATAAAATATGACTTTGCGATGAAAATGCACAGCGAGGATTAAAGAATATATGTCAAAGAATATATGTCAAAGAATTAGCATTGATACCATTTACTGCAGTCATACCTAAGGATACTTGTTGAAAACTCCTATTTTATATGAATAAAAATAAAATTTCTAGAGCTCTTAGTTTTGAAAGGAGAAAGATTCTGTGTTGACACCACCTCTTGCTGTGTATATTTTTTTCCTGGCCATACTTTTTGAAAACATTATTTCTGCTTCAAGTTACTAAGATATCCCATAAAACTAATAATTTGACATGTCAACAATGTATTTTTTATAATAATTCATGTCCTGAAAAACCTGTTGTTTGAGCCTATGTGGCTACAAAGTTGTTTAGCTGAGGAGATACAATAGTCACTGGGAAGTAGCATTTCCAGCATTAAGCCTATTAAGTGATGGTGCTTTAATGGATTAAGTCTATCACTTCTTTGGAGTCAGGTGGTCTGCTGAGGAAGCTGTACTACTCCTCCATCTAAACACAAGTTCACAGACCTGGATGGTGACACCTCACTAAATCTGGTCTGCAGATAATGGTGCTTTCACCTACACAACACTGCACACCACGTGTGTGGCATGCGGAGCAGGGCTGCCTTCGTGGGGCTTGCAGCAGTGAGAGGGAAAACGGCTGGTCAAACAGCCCTTGGTTTGATGACAGCCCAGAAGAAATCCTGGGAAACGTGTGACAGAAGATACATCTCATCTCAGCATGCTCTGAGATTATGGTGTTAGCCGCGTCTATCAGGTTTCTGGCAGGTTGGAGGGTTGGTGAGAGGCAGTCATTAAGGGTGCTCCAGGGGCTGCTTGGCTCCCGGCTGGAGTTAACTATTAATGGGCTGAGCTCTTTGACTCCTTTGTGCCCTTGGGAACCACAAGGCTGAAGCCATCAGAGAAAGAGAATAGAAACTAATCACTTTTGTTCCCTCATATATGTTATGGGAAAGATTGCAGACTTCTTTACTGACCTCTGTGTCACATTGAAAGAAGATTCTCCTCTTTCCATTTGAGATAAACCACTCTTCCCCCTCGTCCTTGTTCTCCCAAAGTGTACTACTGCAAGAAAATGAGATTAAGTGGATTTGTGTAGCGGCCACTTGAGTTGCCACAAGTTCTGTCATCACCCCCACTTCAGCCTGAAGCATGGAACATGAAGTAGTTTGTGAGAGAGAGGCAAAGAGAACACTTTGAGGGGCTCAGTGGGTCTCAGTTGCATGTCTCCAGGTGTTGATGGGACCTCCTACACCTGAGTCTTGAAGCTGTTGCTGTTATTAAAAAGGGTAGCACTGGCATTTTTAATAAAATAATGTCTATGTAACTGCCAAGTTGTCCCATTTCTTAAACTGAATTAAGCATTACCAGGCATGTTGCAAAGAAGAGCCCAGCAGTGGTCTTTGTAGGCTCTTAAAATGGATCCACACAGGATATGCAGACATGCAGCAGATGAGATGATGGAATCATTTTCCTTTTCAATTTAGTTTACTGAGGTAAAATGTGATAAAAGCTTTTTTCATATTTTTAACCCAACTCTTATATTCGGCTTTGAGGGTGCACACTCTAGGGGAAGAGAGGGTTCTTCAACAGTTTCAGCTTAGAAAAGTGAGTGTTACAGTGGTCTGTCAGTGACATGCCACATTGGTTCTGATTTGGATTGACTGAACTCGTTTCCAGGCATTTGAGTCATGTTTGCTTTGAAGAAAACCCACATGTGTGTGTAGCCATGTGTCATCCAAGTCTAGCAACTTGGGAAGCATTATTAAGAGGGGCACAGGAAAATGCATGGGTCCCTGACATGATGTGATAATGACATGTTCAGCATGGTGCTAGGAAAGCTTTGCATTATTCAAAGTGCTGAATAATATACATGATAATGCATAATGGTGTTATATGGTAGGATTATTTTGTGGTGTAAGTGCCTTGTGCTTAGTATGAAGGTAAATTGTATTATTTTGTCCTCATCTTTGATGTAGCAGAATAGGCCTGGGGGGTACAGCATGCAGTGGGGAGGAACAGGAGAAGGCAAGGGTTTGGTTTTTTTTGGAAGGCCAAGAAATACAGTGGCACCCTCTATAATTTATTTCTCTGTGCTTGTAATTATGGAGCAAAGTAAGCTCCCCACAGCACTCAAGAGCAGTGTCCTCTGCAGTCCCACAGCCTCCAAGTGCACTAACCCAGCTCCTGCCTGGAGCAAGTCAGCTGAGCCCTCACCAGGAATATTGAGGCCCCCACACCTCACACCTACGGGCCACAGGGATGTTATCCTCTCAAGCCACGTGGCACCAAAGGCTCACACCTGCACTGATGTGTGGTGCACAAAGAATTTACAAATTTAAACAGAAATCACAGCCAAAAAACTGCTGCTGATGCTGTTGGGTTTATGAACTCTGTCAATAGAAGTCTGTGCTGTGGATGTGAAAGTCTGAAGAGAATAGCAAGGTTCCACACTACATGGGATTTTCATTCTTTTTTCTTCATTTCCCCCTCCATCCATCTTGCTTATTTAAAATTTGCATGCAAATACATTTGTTGATATAATGCTACGGTTGCAAAATGAACTTCACAAACCTGTGTTTGTTTTAACCAGCACCCCTGCTTCGTTCACAGCATGGCATCCAGCTCCTGGAGGAAATGTGGCAGATAGCAGTCTCCTCCCCAAAGCAGTCCTGATCCATTCCCAGCACAGTCTGCATCCTACAGAGGAGTCTTATGACAGGGAAAAAAAAACATCCACTACCCTTCTGTATTTCATACTTGCTGTAGCACCCAGAATAGGCAGTGTAATTAAAGCTACATGGATAAACCTCAGCCCTGGCAGGTCTTCAATTATGATTAAGTCTACAACTTCTATTGAACACAGTGGTTTTGGAGTTTTATATTGTAATTAACTGTAATACTGATATCTCCCTAACTTGTCTCTTCCAAAGGGAAAAAATATGTAAGTAGCCCAAAACCAGTCACTATCTAGATAGGAATGTTTTGCTTTTAAAATACAGTCAAGTATGATTTACAGCATTGCTGCCAATAGTCTAATTTCAACAATATCCTTTACAGGGTGGATTCTCTTCTGCCAGCTGGTGTTCTTAAGCTTAGCTATCGCTTTACATCATCACACAAGTATGTTCCCAGACGGGCTGTGCTCTATGTACCTGCGGATGATGAAAAGAAGATAAGAAAAATCCCATCACTGAATGTAGATTGTGCAGTGTTGGACTGTGAAGATGGTGTGGCTCTGAACAGAAAGGTAATTAAAAATTATCTGTGTGATATAATCAGCACTAAAGAGAACTTGTGGAAAAACATTGCCTTTGCCTTGAGGAAGTGACAACCAGAAAGACAAAGATAACTCTTAAGATATACAGAGTAATGTCACAGTGATAGGCTTTGTGAAGGCGTTGGGAAAATCTGGTTACCCAGAACTCAAAGAGATCCCGTGTGAGTAAGCGGGGAGGGAGTTTTGCAGGAATACAGAACTGGGCATAAGCTGTCATCACAGAAGAGTGGGAGATACTGTTATTATTGCAACACATTTCTTAGGGAAGAGGAAGAAACAGTCTGTAAGAAGAGAAGTGGGAAAGGAAGCGTTAGTTCAGAATCACCAGGTGGGCAGTTTGTTATTGAAATAAAAGCATCTTCAGATTGTGAGCAAAACAGCGTGAGTCTGTTTGGTGTGTAAGCATTGGGGTGTTTGGAAAGATATACTTGCTGAAATTTTGGGGGGGAATGCTGTTAAGGATGTTTCTCAAGGAAGGATAAGTTAGATCCTGACCATATCAGTGTTTGGAATGGGGATGGAGAGCAGAGTGGGAGATGGATGTAGATGTGTCAAGTATCTGTGCCAAGTTTTTGTTAACATTAAACTGGAAAAACAGAAAATGATCTAGCATGCATTCAGTTTTGCTTGCAAACCATTTTTTTTTAATATATGGAAGTAACCATTTTAGTATGTTCCACATCTTAGAACCATAGAATCATTGGAAAAGACCTTTAAGATCACTGAGTCCAACCTTAAACATAAGTGCCAATTCAGACATCTTAAACAATGTATACAAGAAATTGGTGCAAATGTTTCCTAATGAAGGCTATTTCTCAACAGGAATGTAAGTTTGCTGTCACATTATTTTCATATTTGTTGGTTTTCCTAACTGTGTCTCTGTGCTTCAGACTACAGCAAGCACTGTTTAGGGTTTGAGGTATATAATATCTATTTATAGGTACATAAATAACTTGCCCAGAAAGTTAGGAAAACAGGCTTGAAAATTTTCCCATGTCCTCTCAAAAATGCGGACAAAATTTTATGATTTTCTTTTTCTTGTGAGTTAATGCTTTCCAGAAGGACTCTCTTGGATAGTGCTCTTTAACCTTCAGCTCTTTACAGGTATGTTGGAAAAGAAAAAATTTACAGAGTTTGCATGTACCTATGTTTATTCTGAAAAGTGAAAGTAGCAGTCCTGGATGTTCCTGTGTGCTGCTGAAGATGATTGGAAAACATTTTTCAGTTGCTAAAATTCTGTGTTGAAAGACTAGGATTATATCTCCTGTCACAGTGAATTAGTATTGTTTCATCACATTTCAGAGGCTGCTGCTGTAAGATGATACAAGATGTAGTTGTGTATCAAACTGAAGTATTTTTAGGTGCAGCTTAATTATATCAAATAATTTATAGCATAAGCATTTATTTGTAATAAACGATGACAGAAAAACAAAATTTTATGATCAAGATGACAAAGTTGACAGTAGCAATTTCTCAAGGGTGGTAAAATTCTAGCTCTGTTAAAGTGAAGTTGTGCCACTGGGTATAAGATTTCAAGGAAATTAAGGGGAAAATTGGTAATGGAAACTTGACACGACAGATGAGCCACTGCCTCAGCTTAAATGCAAAAAGAAAGCAGACAAGAGGTAAAAGTGGAGACGAGCTACCAAGAAGTAACAGAAAGTGTGGTCCAGGCTCGTTAGGAGCAGAATGAGGAAGTTCAGAGCTTGTCTGGAATCAAAACTGGTGAGGGATGAGCAGAACAGCAAAAATGGCTGCTATAAATGTATCAGCAGGAAAAATGAGAATAAAAACCAGTCAAATAGATGCACTGCTCCATAAAACTGCAGGCTTTACTGTCAGAGTCTGCCCAGTCTCAGACCTAGAAGCAAAACTCTGGGGAGGGAGGGAGCAGCCACAGTAGGGGAGGATAGAGTTAGGGTCTATTTAAATAAGCTGGTTTGTGGGAGCAGACAGGACACTCTGGAGCCTCTCAGGGAGCTGTCGTGTGTCATCAGGAAGCTGCTGTCTGTCATCACTGAAAGGTCAAGGCTGGGGGATGTTCCTGAAGCCTGGAGAAAGGCACTTCTGCCCAAAAGGCCCTGGGTGCAGTTGTACAACAAGCTGCACAGGGTCACTGGTGTGTCCTTCAGCACGAAGCATCCCCCAGGGCCCTGCTGGCACAGCTGCACCCAGCAGGTCCAGGGAAGGGGCTGGTCCTTCCCCTCCACTTGTTTTTGACAGTGTCTTTGTGGAGTCCCTGTGCCAAGCTGTGGATCCCAGGACAAGAGAGAGGCTGAGCAGTGGGAAGGAGCCCATGAAGGGCCATCGGGCTGATCATGGCACAGGAGGAGAGGCTGAGGGGCTGAGTTTCTTCATCCTGGAGAAGAGATGGCTGAGTTGGGTCTTGATGGACACTTTGCTTCCTGAGGGGAGCTGAATGGGTGCAGAGCCAGACTCTTCTCAGAGGAGCTCAGAAATGGAAAAAGTTAAAAAACTGGGCACAGGTTGCATGAGGGGAGATGCTGACTGGAGAAATGGGGAAAACATGGGGAAGACAAAGGAAAAAAACAAGACAAGGGAAAAATGTCTTGCCCATGCAGGTGGTCAGAGACTGAAGAGATTGTCCATTGGTGGTGTATCCTTCCCCCCTAAGGGTATTCAAGCCTTGGCTGGATGAAACTGTGATTGGCCTGGTGTCAAGCAGTAGTTAGTGCTGCTTTGAGGTGGTCTCCTGAGATCTCTTCTAACCTGAATTAGACTCTGTGATTGCATGATTTAGTAGAGAAGCCTAATTCAAAGCGATTAGAAGTTTGAATTTCATTTTTAGATCTGCCACGGATAGACGGGAAGAGTTTGAGACATAGGTTCTATGAATGTGAAGCTGAAATTATTATTGCTCTTGAAGCTTAATTTATTAATGTTTATGAGGTGTTTGGAGACTTTGTGTGAAAGATATGTCAAGAACATGCATTGAAATACAGTGTTCAGTGGCCCATTGCAAATGGGTCATTTCAAACTGAGGGGAAAAAAAACCCTAGGAAACACAGCAGTGCTGAGTCTGTCCTTTATTCATTCTTCTTAAATGCTACTAATGAATTCGACTATTTATTGCTGTATCTTATATTACTTTAAATGCTACTTATGGACTTCCTTCAAACTGCTGCAGAAATGTTGAATTTGGGGAAAACCAGGACCTGACTAAAGGTTCACAGTCCCTTGGGCTAAACTAGCCTGTCTACAGATCTTTATTTGCATGAAGTCCAAGCAGCAAGCTTAAACCACATCTAAGGGGTCTATTTTAACAAGATGCTGTGTGGTTTACATTAGGATTAAGTTAAAATTTGACAGATCAATAATCTGGCATGTCAGCAGCTCTATTTGCTTGATCATTCAGAAGGAAACGAGGAAGATGAGCTTCCTATTACTGAAACTGGTAACATTTGCAAAACTACATTTGGTTGCAGTAGCAGCTTTTGAAGCTGGGGCCGTAAAATAAAAATATTTAACTATTTTCTATGCAGTATTTTCTCTCTGTGAAGTTTTGAAAGATTTCCTTCCCTGTGTCTTACCCTTACAATTATGTTTTCTAATGGCTGACAGAGAGTACCAAAAGGGGGGAACCCATACCCATACCCTAATCTCCTTACCATTTCAGTGCCTTCATTTCTTACCTTCAAGAACTACAGCATTGACCACAACTTCAGGTGTCATCTCTTTCCCCTTCTTTTGAATATCTGATATTTTGACTAAATAAAAAAAAAAAAAGTAAAAACCTCACAGCATTCATGAGGAGAAAATATTTCAGTGAATTTTCTGAGAAGAACCAGTGGGAAGAAATGGCTAATAAGGAAGTAGTTATAGTATGCTGAGTACTAACCCTCAAAGTAGGGTTAGACCTGGTATGAGTAGCACAGGGGCTTTTGCAACACCTTTGGGACCAGGCAGAGTGGTAGGAGGGCTTCAAAAATTCGGAATAGGAAAGCTGATAAGGAGATATGCTGGTGTTGCTGAAAATTTCTTTTACAAAAGAAAGTCTTGCTGAACATACCCTACAAGTCATGCTGTTCTCTAATCCTGGCTGGGGATCCACATGCCGTTTTTACAGGTTCAGATGCATAGTGCCATATGATGTAGACTGTCAGCTGCCTCTCAAGGTTTCTGACTCTGTAAGACTTTGGGTATTTCTACAAAAGTAATTTAAGTTTTGGTTGTGGGAACAATTGAATATTAGTAAAGGGAAGTTACCTTCTCTGAGGTACTATTCACAGAAAAAGATAGGACATCTTTGCCACTGATGTACATGTACATTTTAAAGAAATTACTCAGAATTATGGGCTTGGTGATATTTTAAAGTGAACAGTTCAAATAAAAATTCTAAACTTATAAAATTAGAAATAATACAGATTGCAGTGTTGATATGTCACAAATGCATCATGCTCTTAGAGACAAAAATAGGTTGTATCTATTTCAGCTCTTCACAGGAAAAGGTCTGAATATGCTTTCATTTTGATTGTAAAAAATAAAAAGGTTTTAAAAATGGCTGCATTGATATGCTTGTATGATTCATATAAGCCAGCAAGCTGAATTGCACCTTATGAAAGATCTCTGTGTAGGAGCTGAGCTGTCTCAAGGGCTCTCAGCCAAGCCAGCAGTCCCTGCTGTAGCTTTTCTCTGTGGAGCTGCATCACTCACTGTGCTGGTAGGTCAGGTGGATCTATTGTCAGGTGGAAACTTCTCTCTTCCTGTTGGAGGAAGGAAAATTTCCATGTCAGTGCATTCATTTTCCAAGGACACAGTGAGCTGAGATTTTGTAGTTAGTTCCCATGGGTTATGTAAAGTTACCACCTTTATAAGAGTTTTCTAGAAATGCATTTTTTTCCAGCAGGATCCTGTCTTGGTGGTGCTGTTCTTTATAGCATTCAGGGGGAGTTAGCTGCCAGGTTAGCCTAGCAAGAAAACAGCTGGGGTTGCTACTATAGCCTTTATAT